AAATAATTGCTGATATACTTTGCAGAATTGTTAATTTTCTACANTTTATTATGTTTTTATTTAAAAAATCACGTGACAACGGTTAATCGGGCCTTCAGTTAATAAGTTTCCGATTTTCACCTACATAACTCTGTTCTCGAGATTAAAGAAAGACAGTCGAGCAGACTGCCTATAACGGGAATCTACAGAACTAAAATTTAAATAAGTTATCTATTCCAGCCCAGTTAATATCACAAGTGAGGTCAGGTAACTGCTGCAAATGATAACCAATAAATCTATATCTATATATATTTATAAAAATGGACATGTATGTCCCTATATTTTACTTTTCCGCCAAAACTACACATCGCACGTGAATGGTGTTTGTATGTGGTAGTAGCCTCAAGTCTCCATTCGTGCACCAGGGGGTTGTGTCTCGATAGCTATAAGGCTGCGTGAGATATGGGGCTGAAAGTGGTTGAAAGTTGTTTTCTATTTCGAATTTTATGTTCGAATTTAATTCGAACAATATTCGGATTTGAATTCGAACATAAAATTCGAATATTGGGTCGATTATAGAACGATTGTAAACGTTCCAGAAACGTTGAAAATAGTTCGTTTGACTGGACGTGAACAGGAGACGTTCAGAAATAGAATCGGGACCAGGTCTCTAATTAGTCTGGACGCGGGGGACCTAATTCTTGTATTCTGTGAAAACGGGTAAGATTGGCTATAATGTAATTATCTTAAACTTCACTATACTGTAGTTACTTTTTGCCCACAAATAAAAACCCAGCGAAGCGGGTCCTTGCAGCTAGTAGTAAATAAAATTAAATAAATCTAAATCTAATAGCGTGATAAAGGGTCCTGGAGACACTGTCTCACTAATTACTGTTTGATAGCTTGTATATGTAGACGTGATGGATCCTTTCGGGTTCTGTTGACTTCTCTTACTTCGAAATCGTAACATTTTCTCTCACAGTCATGAATTTAAGTAGACAAAGTTCATTTTAAAATGTTAGAAGTAGTAATGTAAACGTAGAAAGCTTGCAAGTGACGCTTTAAAACAGTGTTTCTCAATCTCTAACGAATCGTCGCTCCCTTCAATAAAACCGTTACGGGTCATTCTAAGTTAAGAGGTACTCACTGATTAAGAGATGTGGCCACAACATAAATGTTAGAAATTTAATCTAATTATGTAACATTTTTATTGAAACAACTAATTTGTGCATATCTGCAAGGTGGCCAGTCAATTTATTTATTTTATCTTGTTTTATGAATGACCAGGGGAGATACTCAATACAGGGGGAGACTAGTTGTACAGGGTAGGATACTTTATGAACAGAGGAGAGATTTTAACATTGCTTTATGAAAGAAAATAGACTTTTTTTTTTTAAGAATCAACTTTATTTATTCATTTTCTAATTATTAAATTATCAGACTGTTTATTTTCAAGCAGCCTGTTAATATCTTCATTCTGAGGAGGTGACAGTAGCAGTGGGTCTTCATTATCCGAAATAGGAAGGGTTGAGGATTCATTACTTATGACTTGAAGTGCTAAAAGACATCTACGATTCTTTGCTTTTTCTCTCCACAATTTTCTAGCTTTTCGCTGTTTTGGGGGGGGTCATTTGGTTCACAGTCTTAACAATTCCTTTTTCTTTCTTCTTTTGATACTTTTCACATTCATTAAAAGGGTCATTTTTTATGCATTGGTACCTTAATCTTTCTGCTACACGTTTTTTTTTTTTTAGGCGTTCTTTATATGTCATTTTTTTTCTTGCTAACATTCTGTAAAAGACATATTATACCATAATTAAATGTATGAGATAGGCTAAAAGAGTAAAAATGTATATTGACTAAATTACGGAACGACGGTTTACGTGTTATCCATAAAAATACTCTGATCTGACGTTTTTATCTCCCCTGGACATAAAGTCTTACCCCTGGAATCTTAAAAGGCAGGGGAGATAATTTTTCGTTAGAAAACTGAAATAATCGTAACAGTATTTATCGTACATAATTAACAAATAAATATGAGAATCTATGCACAAATAACAGAATCGGTTAGGGGACAGGCCAGGGGAGATATATTTTTCATGTTTGAAGTACTATTGTGACTAAATTAAGTACATTTAAGTAATGAATTTAAGTGACCATAAAGAAGATGGTGAGTTTTGAGAGATAATAACATTATTTCAAACAAATTTTGGAAAAAAATGTGATATTTTCTCATGGACGTTGAAAGTACCTCTTAACTTAGAATGACCCATATACGTATTTAGATTAGGATTATGGATTTTCAATCTATTCCATTTATTAACTCGATATTAACAAGTTACTACATAGTTTATTTGTATGGGTAGAGGTTTGCAGCATAAAATAAATACTGATAGAACGAAATACCTTTTAATGTAATTCCACGTGTTGTGGTTGTATAAACAATTATAATTACTGCACGTGTTTGGTGGATTATTATCATTTTAATAGATAATTTATTAATATCGAAAAATTACGTTTATCACATCAAACGCCTTACCCTTTACGTGTAGACCGACATTTAACAACTGTGACAATGTAATAGGGTTGTACTTAGTTTCAATTATAAAATTGCCGATGGTAATTTAAATATTTAAGAATATATAGAAGAATAGAATAAAGAAGAGTGTTTTGAATTCTTTAATAGATTGCTCTTCAGTTATAATCCGACAAGACACACAGAACTTGTAGAAAGAAGACTACGATCTAAACAAGGGAATTAGGGGGTTTATATTGGCTACACGACTAGAAGTTTGACCACATTACTGAAGTAGTCATAAAATACTAAATTAATTTTAACCAATAAATAAATATATAGTGTATTTATATATAATTTACGATACAATTTTTATAATTACATTGCCCATTTAATAACTGTTGGAAAAACTTTGAATTGTGTTAAAGCATATATTTAAATTTCAAAAAAGTAAATACAGTAACAATTTAACTTTAGATAAAGCAATGAAATAACATTTTAAGCGACTTTAAAAAATCCAGCAACCCGTAGAAATAAATAATACGGCGGATATTTGCTACCCCATATTACGTCTATAAGCGGATCCCTTTTGTTAGTAATTGGCATTTACAGTTCTTGTTTTAACGCTTATTAGAATCTGATTAATTAATAATTTCTATTCGAAATGACAAGAGTTCAATAAACGAGCGTGATTTCATAATAGCCCAAAGGCGCTATTATGAAATCCTTGGGGAAAACACACTCCTTTAAGAAACTATTGTGATTCTCCTTCGGAAAAATACACTCCTTTAAGGTCATGCCATCAGGGCATATAACGTAAAAATTGAAATATTTATAATTTTTTTAGCACTGTTTTAGAAAACATTCAAGTTACGCGCCTTTATTTAAACGAGAAAGTGTCTTTTTAATAATATAAAGCCTTAAATTGCTTCGCAAATACGTAACTTACGGTTGATTAAAAAAATTAATTACTCGCTTAATATAGTCGATTATAATAGATTAAAGATAAATAGAAAACTTGCAGTAAGGCATTTCGATCAAATGCTTTAAAAATTTAGCAATGAGTCGTGTAACTTTTCCATCGAAATCTTAAACTGTGCAAGAATTTGCATTTAGGTCCCTTAATTAATTAGGTTTGGGAAATTAATAAAACAAATACATTTATTTTGGGCTAACCTTCCACATGGGCCCTGTGCTGGTTCACTTATTGAACCTGCCTAGTTACGGCACTGTTCAGATCAATCTGTTAGATTTAATTTTAAAAACTTTTTATATTAGTAATTTTTATAAAATGGCAAAAATATCAATTTTTGAGGGTTGTGATCAGCTTTATAAAAGGTTAGAAATGCTAATAAGGAGTAGTAAAATTTTCACTTACTGTAAATATTCACAAGTCGATGTTAGGAACAATAATTGCTTACCATATAACACGTGGGTTTTATAGCTAGAAATTATCACGTGGGCTGTAGAAGTAACACCACTCGACTTTCTTAACGTCGGTTTGTACTCGTTTGTTTAGTATTATAACACTAACAACACTACGTTTCAGTTTGTTACTTACTTTCGGAATAACCTTAACGAAAAAATTTATTAATTGATATTGATTAATGATATTCTATTCAACCACAAGAGGTAAGTGATTCGAATTATTCATTTATTTATGCAAATATAAATTTCAACTCCACTGTTTTAAAATCTTTCTTTTATTGAATACGCAGTGTTAACAAAGGAAAGTATTCTAAACTGAGAAAATGGAGATAAAAGAAGAGTTAGATACAAAAGATTTCGATTTTACTTTTGAAACAAGTAAAGAAAGTTTTAAAGTTGTATTAAAGGATTTCAAGAAAGAATTAAATACGGATGATAAGAAGTTTTGTAGAAGAATTAAATTAGAACCTTTAAAATGTGAAAACGAGAATGATACAGGGGTGAGTAAAAAGCATTGTTCTCTGTGATAAAAAACACATACCTGTGGGAAGGTTTGACGATAGGGAAGAAAGTATAGGCAAATTTTACATAGAGTAACTTTGAAGGACTATATTTCGAGAAGGGTTACGTGTAGAGGCATGGTTTCTTTGACTTTTTCGCTGCTTTGAGTATGTTCTGCTGCTCTGTTAAAGGTCTCAACCGTCTTATTCGGAGCTTGAATTAAGCCCTCTGGGAACTAACGTTGCTTTCAGGACGAGAAAAACGAGTAAAATATTAAAATACATTATTTTTATAAATAATAGTCGTTATGCTGCATTCATTTATTCATAAGTTTAATCTGATAAATGGATTTTCTACAGAATTAAGAAAATCATAAATAATAGTCGTATGAGCTTTAGATCGAGATAGACTCGTCATTGTAAAAGACAAGAGGAAAAAGCCATTTTGGCAGTTTCCTATAAAATTTGACATTTTGGCCATAGTGTTCGTTTTCTATAAATTAAGCGTCATTTGCAAACTTTCTACGTTTGCATTATTCTTTCGAAAATGTTAACATGAACTTTATTCATTTAAATTCATGCCAACCAGAGAAAATGTCGGTACGATTTTGATAAGAGGGAAGTCGACACGAACCGGGACGGATCCATTGTCTTTACCGATGTGAAGTGTCAACCAGATGTAAGATTAATGCGACAATTTTGTCATAAAAAGATAGTGTCGTGATAAGTTCAAGAAGCTTCCACGTGCGGGAGAGTGAAACGGGTAAAGGCAGTCGAGTTCGACCTTTGAACTCGAGCACAACTCTAGTCAAGTACGCTTCTATAGTCAATGAGTTACGCCTGAGATTGACGATAATCGAGAAGTTATCGTCAGAAGGAAGGAAACATGAGGTAATCCCTCATCGACAAATAAGAAAAGAACCTTTATCGTGTCATTAGATTTAGATTTATTTAATTTTCTCCACTAATTATCAGTTATCATTTGTAGCAGGTACATAATTATAAAAAAACTATATTTATTGTAAGCCAAAGCTAAACTTATTATACAGTTGACCCCCCCTATAAAACTGTTGATTATTCCGTTTTATATGAATTCCATGTTGTACGAGTCACTTAGATTTTACAAATTCGTGAGCCATTCACAGCCCGGCACACGTATTTGTAAAATCTAAGTGACTCGTACAACATGGAATTCATATAAAACGGAATTATCAACAGTGTTATAGGGGGGTCGACTTGTATGTATTTAAATATTTTTATGATAAGAAATTTTCTGCAAAATTAGTAAAAATAAAATCGATTTTATTAAATTATTTGCTTAGAATTTCTTTGTTTTTAAACAAAACTTTGTAAACTCTAAAATAGATTTCAAGAAAGAAGCAATAAAAGAAGAAAAATGTGACATTAAACACGGCATAAAATCAGAATGTAAAGTTGTTTTGAAAAGATTGGATTTTAAAGTAAAAACTGAGGATTGTAAACAAGTTTATCTTCCAGATAAATATGAAGATTTAAAGGTAAGTGATACAAATTTGCAATGTTTTACAGTTAAATATGCATATTTGATTCTCTGAGTTATCGAAGAAAATAGCTAAATATAACCAGTTTCATAAAATTGTGAATTTAGCAAATAATCCGTATTAAACAGCAGTTGTTGGACTATATTTATAGTTAAATAAGTATAACATTTAATACTTATTTACAGTTTTAGCTCTGTACAAGGCTTTACTATTTACTTTATTTGCGTACAAAGAACGTGGCTTGACATAGAACAGGCAAGCGACTTAGACGTAATTTATTTTTGAGGCCAATCAAAAGAGCGGTGGTGGTAAACGGATTACCACTTTAATTAATAATTGAAGTAATAAAATATACAAAAATACTTGAAAGCAACATGAATTAGTCATCACCTTCATCCTTTATATGTAGGATCGCTTCTGGTGTGACATATTTGAGACAGACAAGCCATGAAATGTTTGAGGTTTAGAGTCGTTCTCAAACAAGCTTTTTTAAGCTTGTTTGAGAACGTATATTTCAGTTTATTCGCCTGCAATTTGAAAAAAAAATTGTAGACCTATAAATTCTCACGCCATCTCGAGAAAGAAGTTAGATAGATTAAAAGTAATACAAGACGTGGAAACCGTGCAGATAGAAGGCCCCGATAAACTGTATAGGAATGTCCAATGCAAATTGAAAGTCATGTTATTTCAATTCAAAATGTTCTTCCCAAAAGGTGTTAGATGACCGGTGCGACTTTATTGTCGACAGGAAACGTATGATGTACAGAGGCAGACCACTACAAATTTGAGGTGGAGAGCATATATTTTATATTAAATAAATTAAAAATATGATTAAAAATTGCAGCCTGGCATTGTGACAATGTCACGATAAATAATTGCTGATATACTTTGCAGAATTGTTAATTTTCTACAAAATTACTTTTAATGCACTTTTCTAAACTATCTAAAATTACAAAATAACGGATTTTAGATATACAAACTTATAATAATTTTCTTTTGTATTCTTATTTGTATTATTTATAAAGCCTGTCAAGAATGAATTCTCTATTCCCGACGAATACTTTAACAGGAATGAAATGAATATCCAAAGTAAGTAACACGTTACATGTTTATTTTAAAAATGATTTTGTAGATCAGTCTCCATATTTAATTAACCAATATATCACTGAATAGTTTCTACCTTTTCATATTTGTATGTTTATATTATTATATTCACTTATCTGCATGCATATGTCTAAAAAAATATATAAATCTTTGATAATATAATTATACATTTAATGTGGTACTCATATGGCATTTACATACGCACTGGCATACATTTACATGTGGTACAACGTTAATATAAATAATGGCTTTAAATGCTTATATTCTAAATTTTAGATTAACAAACACAAGATTTTTAAAAAAAACTACACTAGTATTAATATATTGGATTATTATTATATTGTATTGGAAATTATTTAGCCATTGTTGTTAAAGTTATATAAGAATTAATTATATAGTATGTTAAAACAGTTAAATTAATAATGTAGTAATATAGTAGACCCCTATAACACGGTAGATACGTTCAGTTTTATATGAATTCCGTGTTTTACGAGTAACTTAAATACATGAGCCAATCACAGCCCGGCACGTGTGAAGTTTAGGGACTTACGGCTATTTGAAAGGTTTTCTTCCATAAAATTAATCGATTCTAGACTAATTTGATTCAAAATTTCCAAAACTCCGTGTTATACGAATCCGTATTATATGAACCCGTGTTATAGGGGGTCTCTACTGTACTACGAAAAATTGTTGCCTTTAGGTAACGAAACGTTACATTTTTTTTTCATTATGATAAATACACAAGTTTTCTTAAAGTTTACAAGTTTACTTAACATAGTTTCAATATTCAAATTTATGTTTATTAAAATACAATGGGTATTTCATTGTTACTTTTTATAAATTTTCAGTTAATGAGGAAGAGCTAAGTCAGGAATATCATATTCTCTCCAATACAAAAAAAGGAATGCATAAAAAATATGATATCGAGAAGAGGAAATTCATTCGTTCGGTTCGAAAATGCAATAAAATCCAAGCAAAGATTAAAAGTAAATATTTCAGGGTTATGATTAGATCTCATTGTAAACAAAAATTCTCATGTGATTTATGTAAACGAAATTTTCTAAATAAGGGAATATTACAAGCACATCTGTTCTTCCATATTGGTAGAAAACGATTTCAATGCAACGCCTGCAATCAGAAGTTTATGTGGCAATTTCTTTTGCGAAAACACGTGAAAGAACACAACAGTAAAAATCACGTGAAGTCATCTCAATGTGACATTTATGATAAGCGACTTACCTCAAAGTATCATTTACAGAGACACAACATAACACACAAATTAGTATCTAATTATTGTAAGTTATGCAAAAAAGAATTTCAAAATAAATCCAGTTTGAAATTACACAGAAAAAGACACGGAGAAATCCAACCTTTCAAATGCGATATTTGTAGTAAGAGTTTTAAATACAAATCGTCTTTAAACAGACATTTAAACATTCATAGCGAATGTAATTATTTTTGTGACATATGTAACAAATCCTTTAAAACTAAACGTTATTTGGAACGTCATAAAGTCGTTCATAGAAATGACTTTAACCATTCTTGTCAGATTTGTAAGAAAAGTTTTAAATCACAAGAGCATTTAAGAGAACATATTGTTATACATAGAAATAAAAACAAGTATCCTTGCAATATATGTAACAAAAATTTTAAAACAAAACGATATTTGAGACGTCATAAAATCATTCATAACATTGGAAATAATTATTTCTGTGACATATGTAAAACGGGTTTTAAACATAGAAGTACTTTTCAAAGACATCGCCTTGTTCAGCACGAAAATATATTTTTATGCGTATATTGTACTAAACCATTCGAAAGTAAAAACATGCTAAAAGCACATTCGAAAACTCACATAGAAAAGTGCGATATCTGTAAAAAGAAATTTGCATGTAAATCCCATTTAATCCGTCATCAGAGAATTCATTTTGATATAAAACCGTTTCGTTGTGAGATATGTAGCAAAAGTTTTACAACTAAATTTGGATTAAAACATCACGAAACTATTCATAATAAAGACAATTGTCCTTATGTTTGTCAGATATGCAAGAAAGATTTCCGTTCTAAAAGAAGTTTCTTGAAGCATCAGTCTGTTCATGTAAAACGACCACATCCTTGCATTAATTGTAAAAAGAGTTTCGAAACTGAAAATAAATTGAAATTGCACTTACAATTTTCTTGCTCAAAAATACACCCCAAACCTCTACCTTACCAATGTAATATATGTAAACAGATTTTTTCGTGTATTACTGATTTGGAAAAGCATCTAGTTAGTTACAATTATCAGACACATTTCCGTTGTGACATTTGTAGAAGGAAATTTTCAAGAAAACTCGAATTCCAGACTCATCAGAAGAAGGCTCATCCCACAGAAGGAAAATATCAATGCAAAATTTGCGAAAGAACGTTTAAAAAACAACATTGTTTAGATATTCATATGCGTACAAATATTGATTTAACCGTTAAAAAATGTGATGATTGTGATAAAAAGTTCTGTTCATTTAATGCCTTAAAACTTCACGTGCGAAATCATCTTTTGTAGTAGAGTTTCTCACGTGAAATGCGTTGAAACAATTTAAATAATTATAATATTTTGTTTATATTAATACAGTAAATATATTTACTTATAAAATATGTAGAAATCTTAAAAAATAAACCTTAAAAATTATAGTTTTATGTCTATCATTTCGTTTATAATAACTACATTTAAAGAAATGTTGCTTTAAAGATGTATTCTTTGATCGTTATGTTGTTCTATTTCTATTATTATTCAAATTAATTCTAAGTGTAACTCGTAATAAATCAATAATCGATTTCCTTCCTTGTTTCGCATTGTTGTTTGCAAACAAATAAAAAGGGAAAGAAAAGACAACTCATATGGCAAAATTTCAGGAAATCAAGAATCAGTTACCAAAGGATGATTGATTATATGCTAATTATGAAGCTCGATAGTCATACATTAATAACGAAGTTGCGGCTGAAGTTTCCATCTCTCAAACGTGAACGCCCAACGTCGAGCGCCTCTATTTTGTAAGCGGCACTCGACGTTCGACGTTCACGTTTGAGAAATAAAAACTTCGCCGCAACGTCTCTAATAACAATAAAACACTTTGTGCATGCTTGGGAATCAGTTCCACAATTATTTATGAAAATAGCTTTGACGACCGGATGGCACAGAGAGTTAAGGATACCGTTTGGGGACTTTTCAAATCCTTGCACACAATTCTAGGAATATCTCACGAGCCAGATATGTCGGTCCTCAAATCTTGCTACTTCATTGCGTGCCTGGTAGAACCTACGATTCATGTATTATAAAACCACTCTTAGTGCCATCCGGGTAGGATGTATCAACAATGGATAACATTATTTAGTTTCTTATACACCCATTTATTTTAAATTCTAAAAAACAAATTTATATATCTTGTTTTAAATTTTTCTTAATATTTAGTTTCTTTTCAGTTGATTAGTAAAAATTAATAACGAAAAACAAATTCATAATTTATTCTCTGCACATTTTTAATGCCTACAGAGTTCTTTTTAAACTTTATTTTCGATATGAGCAAAAAGCACTTTCTGTTGGCCCATTATGGATTTAGCCAGGCCCACTATGAAGCGGCCGAATGGTGAGGGTCCGAATATCCTGATGAACCACCATAAAAATTCCTCGGGTTCATCCGAATCCTGACCTCTCAGCAGTCCACCTCAATCGCTCTGCCATTTAGCTGCATACGAGGTGTACCGAAAGTCAGTTAACCATTACAAATACGAAATGTCTTGTCCTATTCAAATATTTTGTTACTTCTTACCCATGTTTTCTATGAACAATTTTAACTGATTTTTGAGCCCGGATATAGAGCAAAACTTGTGATTTTAAAGACTTTTTAAAATTTATATAAAATTAATATGAAAACATTCCACTTTTATTAGTATAAGTAAATAATATAATGAAATCTCAGCATAAAATAATATTAAATAATCTTAAAACATAAACAATGATAAATTTATATTTTTAGAAAAGTGCAGAGTAAGAACTTACATAAATCAATTTCATTTATGATTTTTTATTCGAATTATTACAATTATATAACGTATTTATACGAAATATATCACTTTTGCTCAACCCTGGTTTACTGCTGATGTTAACGAGCCTTACACCCGGTCTTTTAGCTATCATAGTTCTGCTGCGCCCGTCCTTTGAGAAAAATCTTTCTCCATACAGCATTATGGAAGTATAATCAAAATTATTTAATATTCGCATTTGATGTGGCCCAAACTTAACGAACTGCGATTCCATATCTGCAATGCATTAAACACACGTTTTAATTCATGTATTTCGCAAATAAATGTTGAAATGAAAATACTCTTACGTGGTTTTATATTCTCCCAAAGTATTTTTATGTATTCATCTCTGTCGGGTCGATTCTGTTCGTGGTAGAAGCCAACGATGTGATTCAATTCATGAACTATGGTTCCAAAATACATGCAACCATCTGACAGTGATACGGAATGTTCGCCTTTATCTCGACCCACTGAAGCGTAACATCTGAAAGTATATTACAGTAGAGCGTCGTTTATCCGAAAGAATTCCAGTTGGCAAATTTAAATTTTCGTTAGTGCTGTGGCGCTGCAATCTTCGTCTATGTCTTGGGCTACTCAAATATTTTACGTTTTTCATACTAAATTAACTTCTGAAGTATAATTTTTTTTTTTTTTTATATTTTTCAATATATTTATTTTGTTTGTACAAAATAAAGAAATAATTTTTAACGATACAATAGTCACGATTATTATTTTAAAAAGTTTACGTTAGGCTTAACATCGACGAAAATTCAACGCAAAGCGACACGCAATGGAGAAAAATTTCAGGATTGGATAGGTTAATGTATTTTTTCGTGTATAATCGGTTATCCGAACAACCCCAGTCCCCAGTTGATTCGGATAAACGATGCTCTACTGTACTTCTAATAATTTTGCTTATATTTTATTGAGATTTTTGCTGAACTTACCCAGGTCCTTTGAAAATTCTTACGAAAGTTTCTTCGTTGGTTCTCTCTATAAATCGAATACAAGTACTCCTTTGGAAATTCATCATGGCTGCTTTTATTAACCATTTAGTTTTGTTAGAACTTACTAAAAGTTTTAAAACAAAAATATTAAAAGATACCCATTTAGAAAGATTTTTAAAACAGTATAAAATAAACTTTTACGCAGTTCTTCTTCAATTACGTATGGTATTATTCCTTCAGGCCACAAATCAGAACTTTTTGGAACTGCACCCCGTATCTGAAAACGTTTAATTACAGCGATTCATTTGGAGAAATAATTATTATTTTATATTTACATCATCAGGTTTAATTTACAATTCTACACCGTCTATACTATTACTTACAAAATCAATATCTCCAATCATATCGCCACCAGAAAGATCGGGATTTTGCAAGGCAAGATCAGCATCTGCCGAATCTATTTAAAATTTAATTTTGCAAGTTAATTTAAAAAATTAAATTATTATTAACGATTAGTGGTTGCAACCTTACCTTCAGAATACTCCTGATTCACATTTTCAAAGTTTTGAAGATTTGTAAAGTTAGAAAAGACTAAGAAGATTGCTAAACAAATCATTTCCCAAAAGTTACAACTCGATAATGGGCATATCGCTCTGTAATAAAGATAATATATTCTGTATACAGATGCACTTTGGTTTATAGAATGTGCATATTTTGTTATCTTTTTGAAATAAATGCAGAATAAACATTTAGATAACTTTATAATAATGATTACTTTCCAATATTCTTTATACAATACGTTTTTGAGAATACAAAAAACGATTGAAATTGAGAAATCTGAAGGCTGTAGAGCCGAGCAATTAAGTTCATCCTCAGTTCTGGTGACACAAAATCGAAAAACTCCTAAAATTTTTCGGATAGTCCGCTATAGCCCCTTCGGCTATAACGGACCCGTTACTTACAACCCAGCCAGACTCACCCACGATGAGCTTGATAGTAAGGTCCTAGCAGCAGTTGCAGGCACGTTTGAGGTAGATGATGTACTGTATGTACTGAGGTATGTACTGTACTCTGCTACAAATTTCAAGGCAACCTTAATAAAACGAACAGTTTTTAAATGCACACACTACAATATTCTCTATCCTTGAAGTATTTTGAAAATTTGAATGTGCAGGATTTTATTTTTTTTTTTCAGAACCATGTACAGTATCTCAAAATTGGCAGATGCAGTGCAGTACTCTTTTGCTTTGCACCATTGAAAACGGAAATTTTAATCTATNTGGCAATGTTTGTAATTAATTATTATAAAATGGCCAAAAGCTTAATTTTGAGGCTGGTGGTGCGTTTTTAATAAGAAAAATTTGTAAATGCTAATAATAAGGAGGAAAATCGTAATTCATTCCGACTCTATTCGAGATACGACACACGATATCTCCGTTTATTTCCCCAACCCGTTCACCTTTAAACAAGAAAATTAAACAGCATCAACCCCCTAATACAAAACCTCCCTGCAAAATATCAAAAATTTTCGATAAAAAGCACAGAAGTTATTAAACTTCAAACAAGGTGAACAAAGTCGTGCCCCACACTTACACACACACTAACACTAACAGAAAATATTCCGAATTTTTTCGACGTTTTAAGGTGTCCTAAATCCAAAAATGTATAAATATTGGAGGTGAGATTGTTATTTTTTTTTTTTTTGACCGATCGCCATACATTTCCTCTGTTATATATAACTGCTGAGAAAATAAACATTACAGTATTTAAAATGTTTGCTCTAATACTCAAATTAGTACTGTAGTGCCTTGCCCCTGTACATCATACTTTTCCTTGTATACAGGTGTTGTGCCGGTCGTCTATCTAACACATTTCCCGGATAAATTTTTGACAGTGGGAATTTATAGGTCTACAGTTTATTTTTTCAAATTACAGTTTAATCGCTACAGTTAACTCTTGAATAATGAAAACAAATTATTTATCATATCGTTCATAATTTGTATCAAACATCATTAATATTTAGTGACCCATGACCCTTTCTTGTTTAGAAACAGAAATGAATAACATAGTAGAAATACAGTCGACCCCCCTATAACACTGTTGATAATTCCGTTTTATATGAATTCCATGTTGTACGAGTCACTTAGATTTTACAAATACGTAAGCCAGGCTGTGAACGGCTCACGTATTTGTAAAATCTAAGTGACTCGTACAACATGGAATTCATATAAAACGGAANACACACTACAATATTCTCTATCCTTGAAGTATTTTGAAAATTTGAATGTGCAGGATTTTATTTTTTTTTTTCAGAACCATGTACAGTATCTCAAAATTGGCAGATGCAGTGCAGTACTCTTTTGCTTTGCACCATTGAAAACGGAAATTTTAATCTATCAGAAACATTTTTATTTTTATTTTGTCTTTTAAGGTAAAATAGTCGCTGTAAATATGTGAAAAATTTTGTTATAGATGCGAAAATACTTGCATTGGCCAACTCTGGCTATGCCACTACCAACTTTAATTAGTTGTAACCCCACCAACAAGGGTCCACGTCCAATAACCAGGCAAGGCTAGCTACGGGTTGGGTTTTTTTACTACAGGTTCTCAAGCCAGAAGCCAGAACCCCAAGCCTAGTGTGGAGTCTGTCAAAGATCCCAAGCCTCAATTGGATCTCTTACTGGTTCCTAAGCCACGATTCTTCACATTTTACTGATTAAATTCTCGAAATTTGCTGTTGATGGCTGCTATTGTAGCATCTGGCAGTTTATAGTGCAATTCATTGACGTTGCTAAAGGAACTATAATATTGGCAAAATATTTCTGATCTGGAATCTAGAAACTTTCTCTTCTAGCGGGCCAATAGAACCATGGAGCAGATTTTTTACCATGATGCATTCAATTAATCAATACATCATGTTCTATTGAAAATTCAAAAATATTCCCAATCCACCAGTTATCGTCACAGATTCAAGCAACATACTCTCCAGGTTTAAGATTTTCCACTGGCACAGTAAATAGGAAAAGTCTGGTTTTTATCATTTCGGTCAATATGACTATAAGCTTTAATTGACAAACATTTTGCTATAATTATGCAGAACAACAATGTAAATTTGAATATAAAAATGTTAACAGTGGAATGCTGGGAATTTTTTGTAAATTATATAAGTGGTTTCTCTTAATAAGCTATTGTTGGAGCATGAACTGTTACGATTGGACCTACTGAAGAGGCCTTCCATAGCGAAATGCATCTAGGAGGTTTATTAATGTAAATAAAAGTTTTCTTTGCAAGTTGATCTCCTTTTTACCTTTCTTTCACTTTGTATCAACAATGAATAAAAAAGATTAATGTTTTAAAAAATTTATTTGAAGTTATAAAATATCCATAAGTCAGAGGAGAAAGAAAAATATATTTATGTATTTTACAATTACATAAAAAGAAGAGAAAGCAGGGGTTAAAATAAGCCGGCAACAAGGGAGTAGGTCTGTAATGATTTGGGGTGTTTTGGATGGGGAAGTAAAACTGATTTAGTATTTGTTGACAAAAATAAGAACTCAGAAAAGTATCAAGAATTATTGCATAATAATATGATTACATTTGGTGCATTAATTTGAGGTCATAAATGGAAGTTTAAACAAGATAATGCTCCCATTCATACATCAATGTCAACAAAAAATTGATTTAAAAAAGAAAACATTGATGTAATTGACTGGCCATCACGTAGTCCAGATTTAAATTCCTATGAAAATTTATGGAGGATTTTAGCAGCCACTGTTTATCAAAATGGGAAACAATATGAATCTGTAAATCAATTGAAAATTGCAATAATGGATGCGTGGGATAAAATTAAAGATGAACAATTAATAAAAATTAATAAACTCCATGCCTAACATAATCTTTCAAGTAATTGTAGCCAAAGAGGGTGAAACCAAAAATTAAAAGTGTTTAAAATATATTTAAAAATTATTTTTATGTAATTTTAGAAAGTGTACTGGTACCTATACTTATAACAAGTTAAAAGTTAAAAACTATGATAACTTCTATCATATTATTGTTAAAAAATAAAAAAAAGCTTGAAAATGATATTCTTGTAATCATTTTAAAACATATTAACTGTTTTCTATATAAAAAATTTAAATAAATTTTGAAAAAAAAACAAAAAACAAAATTTGTGGTGTTCCTATAGACTGTATATCGCAAGCATGACTATTTAAAGGCATTTCTTTTTTTAATGGAAAAGCTCATTAATTTGGAAAAAATCCTATGACTCTCCAGAAAACAATCACCATAGATTTAAAAATTTATGATTGACTTAAATCCCCAAGTTGCAAAGGTACACTTTTGTTTACACAAATGCTCTTTTCAAAGAAAATGAAGTATTACAACTAATAAAATTCCTACAGCACATTTAGCAAATTTGCACACATTATTCCATCTGTCACTCTATCTCATTTAAAATAGGGTGACAGATGATATTGACAGATGAAATGAGGGTGACAGATGATACAGTTGATATTGATGAAGTGCAAGATAGTCTTTCATTGCTTCAACTACACAGATATTACACATTTCAATACAAGTTTTCAGATAACTTGACAAAATCTGCATACCTACATATTTTCATGTTGAATGGAGCTATGTCTTACTAATGTACTTTTATGTTTAAAACTCTTCTCACATATTTCACAAAAATACTTACGTTTATCGCTGTGTACTAATTTATGAGCATATAAACAGTTCCTTGTTTTAAAACGTCTTTTACAGATCTTGCAATAATAATTATAATCATCACTGTGTGTTTCAACATGAGTCTTTAAACTCCGTTGCGTTTTAAAACTTGATTTACAAATCTCACAAAAATAATTATTTTTATCATTATGAATGAGTTTATGATTTGCCAAACAGGATTTTGTTTTAAAACTTCTGTTACACATGTGACAAGAATATTTATATTCTTCACTATGAGTCTCATTATGAGTTTTTAAAGCCTTTCTTGTTTTAAAACCCTTATTACAAATATCACATTTGAAAGGTCGGTCTTCACTATGCGTTACCAGATGACGTCTCAAATTACATTTCCACTTAAATTCTTTCTTACATATCTTACAAATATAAGATAAATGTGTTTTGTGGTGCATCTTTAATCGGCTCATTGTCATAACGCGTTTATCACAAATGTCACATTGAAAGGGTTTCCACTGTTCCAGAGGTTCTAGAAGACATTTTGAAGATGACTGTAAGTGAACTTTCCTATTAATTTCAATTTGATTTTCATTGCTGTGCTTTTTCTGGTGTCTTCGCAAAAGAAATTCCCACCAAAACTTCTGATTGCAGCTTGTGCAGCAGAATTGTTTGTTTCCAATATGAAAGAATAGATGGGCTCTTAATACTTTGTAATTTATGAAAGTCTGGGTACATAAATTACACGTAAAATTTTGTTTAGAATGAAATGAGCACATAACCTTCAAGTATTTCTTTTTAATATTTCCTTGGATTTCATTGAATTTTCTAATTGAAGAAATGAATCTCTTCCTGTTCTGATATTTGTAACACTTTGCTCTTTTCAGATTGTGCTGTATATCATCATCTTCACTCTGTTCCTTTTTCTTAACTGAAAATTTAAAAAATAAATAATAAAAAATTTAACATTTCGTAAAAAACCGGACACAACCCTGATCTGGGAGTAAACCTCACCAGGATACGTGTGACGTCACTTCGATGACATCCTTACACCAATCTTTAACATTACAGGTTAATTGTTTTACTATGATGAAGATTAACAAGGCTGTTTTCGAGAATGCTTAAGGCTTTTCTCTTTTTTTTTCTTAACTTCCTTCCCTTCTATTCTTGTCAATTTTCTAGTTTATTTATTCGTTTTAGCGCCATAAAAATAAATATTTATTCATTTTTATCATTAAAAATCTTTCCCTCATTTATCGTCATACTTGAGTTTTATACTCTTTTATAAATAAATAACGTTTATATTCCAGCATTTTTTTTTATAAATGACTTAAATTAGAGCATAAATATTAATTNTGTATTTTATTTATTAATGCATTTTTAATAATATATGGTTATTAAGGATCTATTTTAAGCTTACAAACAAATAAATTTTAGTTTTTAATATAGTACAGACAAAAGTAATCTGAATTTACGAATTCACGTACAGGTAGCTCTCGGTTTACGCCGGTTCAATTTACACCGATTCACAATAACGCCGTTGCACAATTCGTGATTTTTCTGTGTAATTCCCCGATTTTCCCTTTGCCAGACTGATTTTCGTTTCAGTATTGATGTATTTACCGAGCCACGACATTGTACATTCGTTAAAACAAAGATTTTTATTGAATATATTTATTTTTTCTGTTTAATATTATTGGGTATGTATACATTTGCATTAAATTAATATTAAAATACTAAACGTTTAGGTACCCACGAGTCAAGTTATCAAACTTAATAGTCTAATAAATGGCGTCCGAATCCATACCGCCATTGTATTTTATGATGAAATACATTTTAAAAATTAAATTTATCTGTACTTTGTATTATATTGTATTAATAAACAAAATAATTTGCTTATTTTTCACTTATGTGGAACCTAACCCTATACCTCAGTGTAAATATGAGTTCGTTTTACGCCGGCTTTTGTAGGAACGGAACTGCGTCGTAAACCGAAAGCTACCTGTACTGTAAATACAGTACATACTTGTAAATGTATATATTTTAATATGATTTTATGTGCTTTAAATGCTTTTCTAGTGATATTACGACTTCAATATTTGTGGCGGACAGACGTAAAGTCGAATAAAATGACTTAAACTTGATTTTTACTTATACTTTTTTGACAAACGACGTAACTCGAAACGACGTAAGTCGAGGTATACCTGTATACTTTTTTTTATATGATTAATCAGAGTTTTTGGTCAATTTTATATACTTATTATGCGTGATTTTTATACTTTTTTTAAGCGTTTCTTCTAAATTTTTTATGCTTATAAACCCGCACTCTAATTATTATTATTATTATTATTATTATTATTATTATAAAGATTCAATCAATGAAAAATAATTTAATATTTTAAAACTGGAATTTCGACATGGAAATTTTCCATTGCAATTTTTATACATTTACTTTACGAAAATCAACAGCTGCAAAAATGATTATATTATCAAATTTTCCTATAGAAATTTTGATTAGAGAACTATAAAAATATTAATAAGATAACTTCAGTAACATTCATTATCTCGATAATTCATAAACATTAGACATTTTTTATTCAGGGTCAAACAGAAACTTAACTGGAAAAGATGCTCTCAACAATTGTCTTATTTATTTTATTTCAGATGATATTTAATTTTTCTAAAGGTAATTAAATTTTTATTCATATATATATAAAAAAATATAAAATATATTTTATTCTAATTCTTTAATTTCAACTATATTGTTAGCATGTGATCCAAATAAACCGTTGGACATTACCGTTTCGAAAAAGGGTGACATTTTCAGCCCGGGATACGAAAAAAATGAAAAGTATCCTTTGAATACGAGATGCATTTATTTTCTTCATACCGAACCCGGAAAAGTAAATACAGTATTTAAATATGAACTGACCCGAAATTCAGTTAACCCAGTAAATACGTTTTCTTACGCCTCGGTTAACTGACTTTTAGGTCACCCTTAAATATAAAGAATTACTATAAATTTACAATATTTTCTTTTGCATATTTTTTTTATAATAGAGTATTCGTTTAAAGTTTATCGATTTTGATGTCGAAAGTACCGAATCCTGTGGAGGAGATTCTTTAAGAGTTTTCGAAGGTCACGATATGGAACATGGAGCCCATGGAATTTTTTGTGGAGATTCTACTCCTGAAGATATTTTATCTATAGAAAATGAGTTATTTATTGTGTTTTATAGTGATTTTATGATAAATAAACGTGGATTTCACTTTACTTACGAACCAACTGAAGATGAATGTAAGTATTACGTATTGTTCTGTAAAGCTATCAGCATGTAGATTGACGTCATTTATGAGGATTCTTATTATGATTTTTACCGTAATTTACTTTAAAATGTGTATAAACAGTGAATATACAAACCCGATTTTTAATTAATTAACTAATTAATTAGTAATTATAATAAATTGGCATGCACGATAAGCAGAAATTGTGGATTCGAGTTCCTATTCCATTCCTATTCACTTTGTCCAGAAATTCTAAATTAAAAAGTAATTTATTATAATTATTAAAATTATTACCAGATGGCTTCCTAAATGCCTTTTCTTGTCAAATTATTTTATAACTAATTATTAAATTAGCCTTATTATAGCCCGATAATAAAGTAGACCGTTTATCGTTACTTTAGGCTAACAATAAGACAAGAGATTCTCACTCTACACTTTAGATCCGAACATTCTCAAAACGTTTGTGCCGCCGCTTACGTTATTTGAGACTAGGAACCATGATATCATTTATCTTGCGCAGTTTATATAGGAATGTAAATCCCATCCTTTATTATTCTGGCTATCAGGACTAAAAATTCTTTCTGATATAGCTCATGGTATAATGAATGCTGTGTATACAACAACTCTGTTTCATTGTCTTTACTTTCCGTCTTGCGAACACAGACATTTCCGTTTCTAGGCATTAAGACGTGAGCCTACCCGAACTCAAACCCAAATCCTAGAGCAGAAGCCTGCTTTACTCTGCCGCAACTGTCTACTGTTAATTTTGATTTTATACACAATATAATTTTTATAAAAAGATGAGTGTCTTCATCCCAAAAACTTCATAAATAATCACCACTGGATCAGCATATTTTGTAATAAACAATATGAAAACTTATTGTATTTTTCAGCCCTTTGCCCAAATGATCTGGAATGTAAGAACAGAAGATGTGTTAGCAATTCAAAAGAATGCGATGGTGTAGATGATTGTGGAGACGCTACCGATGAAGAAGAGTGTGGTAAAATTCAAGAAATATAAATAAATTTAGTATCCATATTTACACACGTCGCCAAATAACAATTTTCTTCGTCAGAACATTCGATTGTTGAAGCCGAAAAATGTGGAGAACCAACAATAAAACCATCAGAACACGATTACGGCCGTATAGTAGGTGGATTTGAAGTTACTCCTGGAAGTTGGCCCTGGCAGGCAGACATTCAGTTCGATTTGATACATCCTAGTGGCCATATCTGTGGAGGAAGTCTTATAAATAGCCAATGGATAGTGACAGCTTCTCATTGTTTCGAGCAGTGAGTATAGTACTGTACATATATTTATTTATTTTATAATTAAAAAAGCATTTTATTATATTTTAATAAATTATAATTGATAAAGATCTTCTTCTTCACTTTTTCCTCCTTCGAAATGATATCGCAAGGTCAAACAAAGTCACACCGTGTCAAGTATACGGCGACGCATCCATACAACGCTAAGACGAAACGCTGGATGAATGATGTGCATTTTTATAAATAGACACGTTAATAAATAACATTATTTATCACCTTAATTCAATTTAGAATTAATATTTCATTAAATCTTTAATGCGATGAAGTGACCTAATGATGAAAGATTATGAAACGGTGAATAAAAAAAAATCAAAATAATGCACATCTTTACGTGAAGAAATGCGCTTTGCAGTGCTTATTTTTATAGTAATTTACTTGATATTGTTTAATCAAAAAATTTGCATAAATGGAATAACGTGTAAGCTAGAAACTTACATTGGCTGTATGGATGATTTATGCAAGATGCTTCATTCTTACACGATAATATTGTGCTCCTATCGCCATTTTCATCGTTATATCTTCTACATGCATTCTTTATATATATATATATATTTGCATTCTTATCGTACGTTATCTATCGGCGCGCGCGTTTCGCGTCGCGTCGCGTCCGATTTCTCGCATCAATATTTTCCTCAGTTCAGAAGTGATTTTTACAATTGCTTTCAACTTTTTTTTACAAATTTTATACAAGAAATCTTTCCGGGTATTTGTAATTTATCTTACATTCTTCCTCATTCTCGTGAATAATAGATTATTTTTTCTCTTTTCAATTTTCTTTATATGCAGTTTTCATTGCGTAAAATGTGATTTTTATCATTATTTTTGCGTATTTTCTCAATTGTTTTTTTTGTGATTTTTAGATAATTAATTTTTTAAAATTATTTATCAACTGTTGAGGTTTTATAAATTAAATTAAATTGATAACGTTATAAATCATATCGTCGTCATCATGATAATTAATATTTTATCATTAACAACTAACATAAAATTAATGCTCATGTTCAATTAAATGATGTTTATGGTAATCAGTAGCCAACATTCTCACTCATTACGTGACTTCTATTTTAATTTTACTTTAAAAAAAAAGATAATTATGAATTAAGAATCATTTATACCTTTTTTATTTGAATTCTTATCTGCCTACACGCGCGTTGATCGCTTACGTTCGCGTCGCGCCAATATATACAAAACACCTAATTTTATCTAATTTAATTTGATTTATTCCTCGAATATTTACGTATTTAACTAAAATGTAATCATTACTTATGTAAAAATAAATTTTTTTAACGTTTAAACTTCATAAAAACGCCAAGTTAACACGAACAGACAGACCGCCAGACAGGCAAGTCATCTACAAAATCATGCTTCTCACAGCAATAACAATGTAAAATTGTGCCTTATAGGCATATATATATATTAATAAATAAATAAAAATAAACAATGACAGCTTACAACATAACAAAGATTAATTTTAAAAATAAATAATTGTTTTACTCAATAAAATTAATGATAATTAAAGTTTATTGTAGTTAAGATTAATTAATTACTTTTTAATTTAATTTACAAATATTATTATTATTTTTTTTTTTAATGATTCTTCTATCGCATCTTACGACTTACCATAAATCATTTGTAGTAATTTTTTATGTTAATGACGTTTATATATTAATTTAATTTAATTTAAATATTAAATTAAATA